TGCTTTCTTCATTGCCTAGCACAGAGGTTGGTGGTGTGAGTGCCCCCCAGGGGTGGAGCAAGGATGTGTTGTATTTGTGTTAAGAAGCTGTGTCTTGCTGTTTTTGCTGAGTAATGCCTTGCTGTTTGCAGCAACCATGGGTGGCTGCCCTGCCATACCATGCTGCCTTGGAACCGACTGAGTAAGGACTGAAAACTCCAAGAACTGTAAGAAATAAACCTTTCTTTCCTTAATTTTGGGCATCACGTATTTTGTCTCAGCACTGTGTGAAAAGTAACTGAGACAGATGCACTCCAGTCCCTTGCCCTCCCTTCTCCTCCCCTCCTTTCTCTCCCTGGTATCCCTTTCCCTTTGCCCTGCCTCACCTCCCCATCCTGTCTCTGTCCTTCCCTTCCCTAGCCATCCTTTTGCCCTCCTACAGTCCACCCCTTTCTTCTCCCTGCCCTACCCCTCCTCACATTTCCACTAGTCTCTTCCCTCCCCTCCACCCTTCCCCTTGCTTTCCCTCCTCCCATTGCCTTCCCCTCCCCTCTCCTCTGTCCCACTCCACTCCCAACCTTTAATGCTCCCTCTCCTCTCCCTCCAGAGCTCTAGCCTCTTCCTTCCCCAATTTCCCTTCCCCCCAACGCCAGAGGACAGACCCAAATGCACACAGAGTCTTCCTTCAGCAACACCTTGGTGCTTTATTACTCAGGCTCCATCCTTGTCAGTTCACAGATGACCTCTCTTCTTATTCTTTTTCCTTAGTGGTCTTCTTTTGGGCTTCTTCCCCATGACTCCTGGAATCCTGCAGGGCACGGTTCCTGAGAGTTTGGCATCCTCCTTTGTGGCCTCAGGGGTGGTTTTGGGAATCTCCTCTGGCTCCTGGAACTCAGTCACAGGCTCCTCCTCTTCCCCGCTCTCTCTTTCACTTATCCTAACACGCCTGTAGCGGAGCAACACTGCCTGACGCTGGCGGTATCTGCTGGCACTCTGGTTCAGAATGGACAACATGTCATTAATGACTTTCTGCCTCTGGAATGCAAGGGAAAAAAGTCTGATTAGTTTATGCCTGGAGGCCCCTGCCCTGCTCTGCCCTGCCCTGTGCTGCCCTGCCCTGCCCAGCTGAAGAGGGTGGGAAGAGGAGGAAGGGCTGGGTCTGGAAGGGTAGGAGGGCCACAGGCTAGGGGCCATGGTCCTGGGATCTGGGATTGCAAGGCCAAGTGCAGGACACAACCACAGACTACTCACGTTCTCGGCTTCCGTGTGTTGAGATTCAGCATTGCTTTCAGCATTCTGCCTCCTGGAGGCATTTCCTCGTTCTTCTGGCTGGTTGATGGGATTCTGGACTTTTACCCAAGTAACCAGCCAATTACCCTGATGCACCTGATGAAATTCTTCATTCATGGTTAAGGTCTGGGATCTCCAGACCTCAGGCCACCTTCCTACTTCCTCTTTGAGCTCAGAGATGGCTCTGGTGGTGTAGAAGACACAAATTACCTTTATAGAATCACTTAGCCTAGTGATAGCCAATGAGAGCTTTGGCCAGGCTGGGACATCACAATGCCCTACACTGACACCTCTGGGGAAAGAGGCTCTGAGCCGGACAGGATATTATCAGGTGTTCCAAACTCACCCACTTGACAATCCCATGCTCGCCCCAATTCACAGTTCATTAGCTACCTCCTCAATTTCCTAGTGTTTTATGGTATCTGAAGTGCCTCCATGCCCTTGGTGAGCTTGGGAACCAGTGATTTTGCCTCTTATAAATTTGTCACATGCACCTTGAAACCTACCTACTTTTGGCTAAAACCAGGCAACTGTTCTGCCTCACTGCTTTGCTCAAGTGGCCCCACAGCATTTCTCAGTTTCCTGTGTTGCATCTGAAACCACATCCCTCCCTCTGTTAAGACTTCATGTAGAAGTACTAACTCCCCCCAAGGAACACAAACATTAAGGACTGAAAATACCTACTACAAAAGCGTAAAAAGATAGGTAAGAATTATAAAACACACCTCAATGAATAGCTTTTCTTTTTTGTTTTTATTTAAGGGAAATATAAACAAAATTTGGAATCAACATAAGAGGACAGTAACAATAGTGAACACATCGCATACCATTGTCTTCAAGGTAGTAATTCAAAGTACAGATATAGGTACGAAAATTTTCCCAAAGTAAATTGCCGCAAGCCTTTCTTTTTGATGAACTAAGATAAACTAGTTACATAACTACATTAATAACATATTTAAATATATACGTATATATTTTCCTCTTCCCTACTGTGCTTTCTCCTTTTCCTTCTTGGTACTGTGTAATGGAAAGAAACTGTTCACAAAGACATAAACTACTTGTACTGGGCTTCTTGTTGTTGTTTCAACCCAGAGTAAAATATTTGAGTTCCCAAATGTGTTGTCTGGGAATGGATTGTACCTATATGTGTAAAGGGTGCAGAAGCAGGTGCTCCTATGATGAAACTTGTTGTTACACAGGCAATGCTATAACCCAAAACCTATGTGAGCATCAAGTAACAATGTGGTTCTCTTTGCATTGCAGGATTTGTCTGGTGCAAAAGAGAAATCCAGCATTAACACAGGAATGGGAAACAGACAAGACTCTCTCAAAACTACCTGAGAGTATATATATATATATATATATATATATATATATATACTGAAAATTAGAAGAGAAAAAGATATTTCCAAAATAAATAACTGAGTTTAGGCAGACTGCATGATACAAGGAGATTATACACAAAAACCATTGTGCACTAATAGATTCGCAGTGAACAACTGCTCATTGAATTTAAACACTGCAATTTAAATTATCCTAAAAATGTGAAATACTTAGGGAGAATCTGGAAAAAATGCTTGCTCACTAAAAACTACATAACCCTGCAGGGATAAATTAATAGCATAAAGAAATCAGTAGAGGTATTCATAGTTCAAGACACTCTCTCATCCCTGGAACAAAATATGCAACACCCTCCAATTAAAGCAGGAGAGGTCTACCTAGGCTCATGTTTTCAGTCTGTGGTTGCCCAACTCCAAGGCAAGAATGGCGTGTTCTGAGAGCCGGCCATGAAGGAAAGCAGCAGTCAGGAATCTGAGAAGAGGTAGAAGCTAGGAAGGGAGACCAATCCTGCAACACTCTCACTCCAGTGACCCAACTGTTTCAAGTAGTTCCTACAACATAATCACATGCAGCTAGAATCACACTCATGGCTTAATCTATTGATGAATACAGCACCACACTGACACAATCATCTTTCCAGAGCCCCACTTCCAAATATGTGAGACTTGGGTGGACACTCTGGATCTAATTAGGAACATATACCTCATTTATGGGTTAGCAGATATGATGTTATGTGACACCAATGCTTCCCTGATTCATATGCATATTCAACCCAATGTCAAGCAAAATCTCAGAAAGGCTTTTGTAACGTAAATTGCTAGTTGATTTTAATATTCATGTGAAATTTCAAGAAACTTTAAGTATCCAAAATGAGTATAAAGTGTAAAATCTGATTATATTACTTGGAGCTAATCAGTGTAAATGTACTTCTGAGAACCTACTGTGAGATACTATACTTTTGGAGGAGGCAGATACACAGAACTTTGCTGCATACACCTGCTGTGATTCATGTGGTTCTTGAACTTCCTTGAGTGAGGACCACAAAGAGTGGTGAGATGGTGCACAAATAAGGACAATCCACAGAAATCTGGGATCAGGTGGAGCCCTCTCTGTAGAAGAGAGGGAAGGAACTGCTCTACCACCACTGCACATTTACTCATACACTCAAGAGCCTGATGTCTTTTTTAAAGCCCTCCTCTTTAACATTTTGTATGACTCACCTGAGCTCTTGAGCTGGAACAGGTTGTTTATTTGGCTCACCTCAGGCTCTCAGTATTCTCAGGTATGACGTTGCTTTAGCCCAGTCTGTTCAGTCAAGCTCCAGTTTCAGCCATTCCCCACTACTCCCCCTTTTCTTTTTGTCCTTACAAGTGACTGGCCATTTGAAGTGGGAGGAGCTGTGTTTGGAGGACCCTGTAGAAAATCATCTCATTCTCACATCCTCTCCATTCTGAGTGCACATACTCATGTAAGCTTAAGATTTTCAGTCCAAGGGTATTAAGGTTCTGCATTCAATGATTTAAACCCATATATTCGATTAATACATAACAGGAATCAGTTACTGGGGTAGCGGGATATTGTCAGAATATTTGAGTTATTTATGTTTCTTCTATAGATGACATTTCACTATGGCATTGTTTTCCACCTCTTGTAGTTGTACTTTTCTTCAGAATGTTAAAGACAAAGCTAAGACCAACATTTGGCAGAGTAAGGCTGGAGCCTGGACCTGATGATGGAAGGAGAATTCTTGACTCTGATTCACTGCCTCACATTTGTGGATAGAGGTCTCCCTGAGATTATCCCCGAAGATGGGTACCCCGAGTCCCTCCTCTCAACAAAGCTTGCCCTGTGCCTTGTCTGCCTCTCTCCCCCCTTCCTGCCCCTCCCCTGCCCTCCATTCTCTTCCTCCCTTTCCCCTCTCCTGCCTTCCCCTTCCTTTCCCTCTCTCTTAAGTCTTTTCACTCTGCTGCCCTCCTGCTTCCTCTCCCCTTCCCTCTCCACTCCTCCTCCCATCCCTCCCTGTTCCCTGCTCCTTCCCTTCCCTCTCCTCTCCATCTCCCTTCCCATCCCCTTCCCCTGTGCCTTCCCTTCCCTCCATTGTTCCAGCCCCTCACCCACCCTTTCCCTTCTCTCTTGTCCACTCTCTTCCCTTTCTTCCATTCCCCTTCCTTTCCTTTACCTGCCCTCCCCTGCCCTGCCTTTCCCTTTCTTCACCCTCTTCTTGCTTCCCTATCTTCCAGAAACCTTCCCTCCCCTTTTCTGCCATTCTCTTTGCCTCCCCTGTGCCTCCCTCTTCTCCTTCTCCCCCTCCCTCTCCTCTCCCATTCTTAACCACTCCCCAGCACAAATGTACACAGACTCCTTCATTAGCATCTCCATGGTGCTTTATTGCTCAGACATGGACCGGGTGATGTTCACTTGACCCTCTTCTTACTCCCTCGTGGTCTTCTTCTGGGCCTCTTCCCCAGGGCACCTGGAGGCCTGCGGGGCATAACTCTGGGGAGTCTAGGGTTCACCATTGTGGCCTCAGGGATTACCTCATGAATCTTTGTTGGGGGCTCAGCCTCTGGCTCCTCAGGAGATGGGTCAAAAAACTCAATCACAGGATCCTCCTCATTTAAGCTCTGGTCTTCCCTCCTCTTCTTCACTCTCTGGTTGAGCGCCACCACAGAGCGCTTGTGGGGTCTGTTGGGACTTTGTTCCAGCACAGATGGTACCCTGTCTGTAACCCTTTGCATCTGGAAGGAAAGAAGAGAAGTCTGATTAGTCTAGGCCTCAGAAGCCTCGCTCTTTCCTGCCCTGTCCTGCCCTGACCTGCCCTGCCCAGGAGGAAAGGCTGAGTCAAGGAGGGTGAGGCACTATGGGCCAGAGTCCAGGGACCTGGGACCATCAGCTCAAGAGCAGGACACAGCCAGAATCTACTCACGTGCTCTGCTTCCTTGTGCTCAGACTCAGTGGAGGTCCCTGCCTGCTCGTTGGAGGTCCCTGTGGGCTCATTGGAGGTCCCTGCCGGCTCCTTGGAGGTCCCTGCCGGCTCATTCAAGGTCCCTGCCGGCTCGTTGGAGGTCCCTGCCGGCTCCTTGGAGGTCCCTGCCGGCTCGTTGGAGGTCCCTGCCAGCTCGTTGGAGGTCCCTGCTGGTTCGTTTCTCGGCGAGCCACTTCCACTTTCTTCAGGGGAGTTGACGGAGTTCCCGACTTGTACCCAAGTAACCAGCCGGTTGTCTTTTACTTGGTACATTTCTTCCATGCTTAAGTTTTCAGCCCTTTGGACCTCAGGCCACCACCCCTGCTTGCTTTTTGAATGCTCATGTGGCTTTGGAGGGTGAGGGGGCCTCACCCTGCCTTTATAGCTTCACTCAGCTTAGCGCCAGCCAATGGGACATCACAATGCCCTACTCTGACACCTCTGAAGGGAGGGGCACTGGGCAGGCCAGGACACTAGCAGGTGCTCAAAGTCACCTGCTGCCCTTTCTCCTCTTCTGCTTTTCAACTCTCAGTGCACACATGACAGTCCCATTGTCACCAATATTAGTATTATGTGGTTCACTATCTTTCCCCATGGCCTGGTATTATGTGTCTAAAACCCCTCCAGGCCCTTGGTCAATGTGAGTACCACTGCCTTTTCCTCCTACAGCTGTGTCATGTGCACTTGGGAACCCACCTAGTCCTAGGCTACTGCCTGGCAACTTTTGACCTCACTGGCATGGATGAGGTGGCCACACAAGAATCCCTCCATTTCCCCTTTCAGGTGTGGAATCCATGCTTCCCTCTGGCAAGGCTCCAGGTACAAGGACCAACTGTCAAGAGAAATGTCAACTGCAACCCCTGCAAATACTTGCTAATAAAACATAAAACACTGCTGAGATCTGTACAAAAAGCCCAGCAAGAAGTATATTTTTCTGAGGTCTACTTTTCTTGGTTGCCAACATGGTACCATGTTCATGTCTGCAAATGTGCTGTCTGGGTGTACATGGGACCCATCTGTGTAAGAGACTGTGCAATCAGGTGTTCCTTCTCAAAAAGTTGTCCCATTTGCCCACATGCCAGAGGCTACTAGTACAGACCACTCTATTAGTTAAAAATGCTACAGTCAGTCAGACAGGGTAGGGTTCTCAAAGGACCCAGTACAGAAGACCAGATACCTTGCTACCTTGAAGTAGACAGACACCTCTGCTAAGGACCAGATCCCAGGCAAAAGAGAACAAAGGATGCAACCACATCATGAGTACTGATATTCTAAATAAGTGTGGATCACCTTGAACAAGCCAGAAGTCATCATTGCAACCCCCTACAGAAACAGTCACAGCTTTTAAGCATGCTCCCTTGTGACATGACTCACATCCCCATTTGTCTCCAATTTGGTCCATTTTACCTGGACAATTCATTTTATTGACTGATCATAGCTCTGCCCCACCTCATGCCCATGTGTTTTTTGAGTTTCCATGTTTTAGCCACCTTGGTCCCATCTCACCTCATGCTTTTGATCTACAAAATTCCCTAGAAAGGATGGGGTGTTTGCATCCTACTTCAACCCTTTCTGTCTCTCTCTAAGATAGAAACCTTATTCGGTTCATGTATATCTTTTACTCTTAGCCTCCCTTCTTCCTAAAATTCATTCTTTGATTTTAGAGAATTCAAACTCATCCTGGTGCACCAAGTATGTTTGCAGTTTCATTGCCCTACATCTGTGACAGAAATATCCAACATTTATACCTTAGTTTTTGTATTGTATATGGGGTTAGGATGGAGGGAAAAAGGAGAATTGAAGTTCTGTTTTTATTTAAAAAACAAATCACACTGGAAGTTGAGCAACCTTAACTTATTTGCTTTCTATTTTTTGATACACAAGACATATATAACAAAGAGAAGGGAGTGGGGAGCAGTTGAACCACAGCTGAGACTGAGATCTGCAAACTCACTGAGACTAGAGCAAAGCCCATTCCAAGGACACAGAATGCCAGAGGCAGACTGTGTAAACAGACTTACCTCTAGCTCAGTTGCATATCAACAGCTGTCTGGCCTTGGTGTATTTCCATTTTAACTATAGTACAGATAGTTTTGAGAATATTTTGCTTTCCTTGTTTTTAGCAAATGCTGAGATCTTGTGCTCTGGATCTCCTATGTGCTCTTCTTTTTTTATTTTGCTTTTTAAAATGTTGTATAAATAAAGACCCTGGGGCCATGACACTGCCTCTATCAGAGAGCTCAGGTCCCAGCAAGCTCAAGCTTTTCTTTATGTGTCTTATTTCTTCTTAATCTCTCATCTCCTCCGCTGAGGATGCTGCTGGTCACACAAGTGTATATCTTGTGTGATATACACTGGCAGATGGGACTATATAAGGAAAAAATAAAGTTAGATTGACAAGCTAAAATTTTATACCTGTAATATACAATTTGAAATCCCTTGTATAACACATTTAGATATGTATTATTAAGGAAAAATTAACACAATGGTGTCAAATCGATAAAATTTCAAAATGAAACTGGTTGGAAATTAGTACATTACAAAGCCACTTAGAAATAATAATAATAATAATTAAATAATAATTAGTACATTACAAAGCCACTTAGAAATAATAATAATGCTAAACTACTTGATGAAAATATAATCTCTTACACACAACAGACTATTCTATATTAATAATTTAGTTGGGATTATTATTTATGTGAAATATAAAGACAATAATTTATTAACCCAATACACAATTCCATATTTGCAATGATGAAGACGTAATCCACAATGTGCCGCACATCTCCTGCGGCCAACATTTTTTAAGTTATTTTGCATTGTGCATTGATAACATGGAGCTGTTATAACCTAAGTCCCCTAACTATCGCACCATAAGGTCTGTTCTGTATAAGCCCACCTGCAGCTTCCCCTCCCCTTCTCCCGTCAAATCTAACTAGGTTAAGTTTTAACTTCCTAAAGGCCATAAAACAAAGGCCCGAGGTAATAGCTCCTGACAACCCGGGTCTTCCCTACCCGGTAGCCGTCACAAATTGTGTTAACTGCATTAGATTGTATTAAATTGTACATTCGTCACAAAATAGCTTCGTTTATATCATAGCAATACCTGTAACTTGGCCGTACTGTAAATGTGTGTTTTCCTTTCCCTCTGGGCAAAGGATTGATATGTTAATCAATGCTCTCCTCTGTAAAGAATTGTAAAATCTTACCTGATTGATATGTTAACCATTGTTGCCCTCTACAAATAGAACAGTTGTGGTGCTAAAGTAAGGTAATAAGGTTGTTAATTGCTGTTAGACTTTTCTATTCTTTGCTAAGGAAAACAAGATTTCTTCTTATCTAAACTTGCTAGTATGCAGGGAGACTTGCAATTGCTGTTTCTGCTTTGTAGTGCGTCACACCCCCATCCCCCTCCTTACATTGTGTGACCAGCAGCTGTTTGTGGATTTACAAGATAAAAAGTCCTGACTTTTAGCTGTGAGGTGCGCAGTCTCCAAATTGGCTCCCAGAGACTCATCACCAGACCTGGATTTTACCTAATAAAGCCTTTGCTTCTCAAATTTTAATTTCTTGCTTCCTTGGATTTTATACCGGGGTCTGAGTTATCACATTTGGGGGCTCATCCGGGATGGAAGCAAGAACCCAGACCCATTTCTGAACATCTGAAAGTAAGTACTCTGGAGGGTTTGTTTGGGCCATGGTCAATTTGTAATTTGACTGGGACGCCCTCAATTTGGCAGTGGGAACCTCTCGAGGACAGAGTCAATTTGTCTGTGACTCTGCCCCGAGTGGGGAACCGCTCCGTTAGGAAGGGGACGCCCTTAATTTGGGGAGTGAAAACTCCCGAGGACAGAGTCAATTGGTTTTTCCCATTTGTGACTCTGCCCTGGGTGGGGAACTGCTCCATTAGTTGAATTTGTTAATTCCTTCAGATCCCAAAATTTGACTAATTTTTGAGCATAATATTGTATGAGAGGCACTAGTTTACCTTATGTCCACAGATCCTGATTCAATTGGGGCCAGGTGTTGTTAAATGACATGTTTGCTACCCAGCTGCAGACATTAGAAAAAGCTGCAGAAGATAGCCTTTGCTCCAGATAGTGCACTTGATAGTTTAGTAGAAACTGCCTCCTTAGTATTCTATAATCACAACTGGCAGAGCACCAAAGAGAGAAAACTAAGAAAACAAAAGCAGCTGCCCTTGTTCTGGCCTTAAATGCAATAGACCTTAAGTCAGATTCTTGGGGCTTCAAGAAAAGCACAGCAAAGACCACACTGACCTGTTACCACCACCACAAGCCAGGATGCCTTAAGCGGGACTGATTTAAGAGGCCCCCACAAGCGTGCTCTGATTCTAAAAGGTGACCACTGGAGGTTGAACTCTGAGGCCCAGGGCCCAGAGTTCAGACCAATCTATCAGTTAGTCCAACAAAATGAAGGACCTTGGGGCACTGAACTCCTTCCTCTGGCCAGACTGTCACCTGTGCCTGTCATCGCTGCAGAGGGGCACTGAGTAATCATAAGGAGTGGAAAAAAACAGCCAATGTTGCACATTGGTGCATGTCTCTGTCCTTCTCAACTCTGGTCTTTTTTCCAGATATCGTATCTCAATAAATCACCAAAATGTGTATTGTTTAAACTGCAACTGGGATAACATTCTCTTTACCATTTCTTTCAGTTGTCCCTGAAAGATTCCAACCCTGGAGAGATTTTATCCTGTATTAATCATATCTATATCTATATATATATATATATATATATATATATATATATGTCCAAGTTGCCAGATAATCAAAATGATATGGAGACTGGTTGTTTCAAGTACAGTACATAATTTTGTTCATATATAAAACCTTAAAGAATGATTTTCTCTGGTCAAAAATCTGGTTCTCATATCTTATCAAAAATTTAGAGATAATCAAAACTAAAGTTTTAGGGATTTATGACAAAATGTGAGACTCCAACAAAAAAGGGCCCTATGTGTCAATGATTTATGTTTATGTTATCCCTTAGAAACAGTTTCTAAACTTACCACTCACTCTAATGCTTAAGGTTTGATTCCACATGCTTTTGTATACAAACTTTGATTATGCAGCACTTTAAGTTTTTTGTTTCCTAAAAAGTGTCAAAACCAAAGCATCATACAGATGAGACCAATAACATATGTTAGATTCCTTTAGATTCCTTTTACTAGAATTCATCACATCTTGTCCAGAGAAGAAACTATATGACAAATATTGAGGGCTTAACAAATTCTACATAGTGGACTTTAAGTAGAACCGCAGCTGATCTCTCTCTCCTAAAAATATTAAAATCAATGAGGCAGGTCATCTTCC